ATGAGCCCCTAATAAAATGTTAAAAAAGAAAGTAAATGTTTAGAAAATGATGATGGCAACCTATGTACAAATATGCTTGATACAATTGATGTATGGAATGTCATAAGTGCTGTAAGAGTCCCCAATAAAAAGATTTAACAAATGAAAAAAAAAATTGGTTATCTTAGGAAATCATGACTTAGATGTCTTTATCACGACAGATGCCCTAAGGTATAGGAAAAAAATCTACCTGACTCAGAAAAACAAATAAGTAAATACCCTAGTCCTGGTCTTGCTACTCTTAGCTCATGGATTTTTGACCCTGATTTTGCCTAGGCTTTCCTTTCATCATCGATAAATTGAGAGACTGGATTGTATGGATCTGAGGCACCTTTCTGCTCTAAGAGTCCTTTGCTCTTAAAGCTTTAGAGTAAAAAATATGTATGTAAGGTAACTATTTTCTAACTGCTTGTTTAAAAAAATCGTACTTCTTCTGAACACTTAAAAATAGACACCTGAAATGAATGCACAGATGAGAGACAAAAAGTTCTAAGACCTTTAAAAAAAAAGTTGGCACCTCATGCTATTATGAAATCTGCACTTAGTGCTTTTGTATTTAAACAGTTTAATTGGAACAAGTCTCAAGTTTCTCCTTGTGTGCATGCCCACAGGTGCTTTTCACATTGACATCTCTTTCCATTCCCACGTGTCTTCACTCATGTGGCTCCCTTTGAGACACCTTCTGGTACCAGTGTCCCTTCTTCTTGCAGCAAATCCTGCCAACAATTCCTTTTTCAACAACCTGTCCTCCCCAGGCCTTGTATCAATCATGAGGCCCTAAGAATGTAGACCATTAATACGGCCCTTTTGATTGTTCACTAAACGATGTCCTTCAGAATACTCTAAAGAGGAGGAATTGATTAGGTTACCCTACTGCCTAAAAACCTTCAAGAACTCTCTTATATTTACCAAAAGGATGCATGAACTCCGTATGTGGGTGTTCAAGACCTCCCATAAGTTAGTAGACTCAACAACCTTCTACCTGATGGCCCATCAGTCAGGATGGCCCTTGCCTTATGACCTTAGCCTTCTCTGGGTGCACTTCTACCATTTGTAAATGAAGGGGCTGGACATCTGGTCCTTCCTCCTCCAAGATGATTTTTCTCTAAAGTTTCGAAGTAAAATATATGTAAGTTTAATATTTTCTCATGGTCGTGCTAAAAAAATGAAAAGCAAACCTTCCTGCCATTGCCTTGGTTTCCCATCTCCATCTAGGAACATCCTCCTTCCCATGTAGAACTCGGTTCTAGACCCGTCTTCTTGATAAAGCCTTTCCTGCCACCGTGGGAGCTTCCTCAGCCACAGCTGTCACCGCCACCTCCCCATGTAGAGCTCTCTGCAGTCCGAAGGGAGTGTAGTATTCAATTGACAAGATTGCTTAATACCTCTTTATCTTGTTTTCCCCACAAAACCATGAGTTCTTTGAGAACAGAGAGCCATTGGTTTCTGGGGTACCCATGCCCAGGTCTCACATGATCACAGGGTTGTAGAACTCACACAGCATCATTCCCTTCACTCAACAGGGCTGCTGTGGACTCATGACTCAACTTCTCATCTTGAATATAAGTGAGAAACTTGTCTGTCAAAAAGTGATTACCCATATGAACACAAACCCCCCTCCCTAAATAAAAAAAGGCTCCATTTCTATCTATGATTTTGATTCAAGAATGCAAATTTGAATTAGAACTACATTTGATTTTTAAACGATGAACAACCTGAGGGCAAATTCTGTGTCATTCACAAGCCTAAGAGGAAGTGGATTCCACTTTTTGGCTTAGTAAACACTGCTGCATGCACAGGGGCGTACCACTATCTATTAGTACTCCTGCTTTTAATTCAGTTTCTTTGGGGGTGTATACCTAGGAGTAGAACTGCTGGAAATATATCTACTGCCTAAAAATATATAAGAATCTACTGCCTAAAAACCCTAATTGTCCAACAACAGCGCATAGATGAGGTAAAATGTGATATATACATACAATGGACTTATAACCAACTATCAAGAGAAACAAATTTGGATGCTGGCTATAATATGGATAGACCTTACAAAGATTATACTGAGCAAATTCAGTCGGTCCCAATGGGACTCTTATTGCATGATACCACTTATGTGCAATATCTAGGACAGGAAAGTGTCCAGAGAACAAAGTGTATTAGTGCTTGCCAAGGGTCAGTCAGGAGGTGGGGAGAAGGACTCATTACTTTTGGGATACTGAGATTCTTTTAAGGGTAATGGAAAATCAGGAAACAAGTAAAAGTGACTGTTGAACAACTTGATAAATTAATGTCACTGAATTGCATGTGTGAAAAATGCTGAAATGGAGAATGATTTGTTACATATACGCGTACCACAATACATTTAAAAGAAGAAGAAGAGAGAGCTGCTATAAACCTGTCTAAAACCTCTAAGGATGAGGGAGGGGGCACAATCACTCTTGGCAGGTCTGCCCTCTCAGTGGGTGTCCCCAATTAACATTTTATGTACAGAGCATGATTTCTTCCACCGAGAATTGTTGGCATATAAGCCAAACTCCCAATTATGAATTGTAAGATGGTCAGAGGTGCAATGCTACTGCACCAGAAAGCAAGGAAAAAGCCAAATATGTGTCTCTTGAAAAGCAACAAAGCATGTATATTCGGATAATATTTTTGTGTGTTTAAATGCTTTAGTTCAAATCTCCTGCATGGAAACAAAAGTGATTTCCACATGGTATGTATGGATGAGATGCTTCCAGTGAACTGCATTTTTAGAGTTCATTTCTGGATTCTTCAGGAAGAGGTCCTAAAAAAGCCATCTAGGCAATTTTCCCGGGTACAAATAATGGTACCTGTTTTCTTCCCTAAGATCGTTTTCCATGGCTTGAGTCTCCCGTTCCAACTTCTGGGCCCTTGTGTAGTCTCTCCAGGCTCGTAGGACCTTTAGCTGAAACTTCCAGTCGGACAGGGTACCAGCTTTCCCCAGTTTAATCCTATGATCAAGGATCAGCTGGTGCCAGGCAGAGAAATACCGTTTTTGACACTGCATTGGGAACACAGGGGAAAATGGTCAGTGGTCAGGGCTTCTGCTGTCCTATATTAATCAAGAGTCCTCTTCTCACACTTTCCACTCACATTTTTTTCCTAACAAGTCTAGGAAACGTTGCCTGAATAGAGAGCGATCTGACAAAGCACAATTCCTTTATGTTACTAGTGGCCAAAAATGTCGTGCAACTGAAGCCTGCTCTGCCTTGAAATGTAAATGCAGGAGATTCTCACGGTAAAGTACCAGTCCTGTGGTAAGCCAGAGCAACAGCCACTTCTAAGATGTGAGTTCAGACACTTGTTTGAGAGGCTTGAAAGACCTGCTTCCAAGATGATCTCCTGTCATGCTGTCTTCGAGTCTAAAATGCCAATCGCTTAATTCTTCAAAACAATGATGTATTGCATAAGGGAGCATGGGCAGGCCCGAGAGGTTGGGTTGCCCTCTGTGGTCCGTGGACTACCACTGGCCATACGAGGGCTTTGCTGAACAGATCTACAGAGAATGGATGCAATTTTCTATTATGTGCATTGGACAGTAAATCACCTGGTGTCTACAGACCCTGACGGGCAGTACTTTACTTGTGTTCTATTCTTTAAAAATTCCAAGTCCTTGTCGAAATCTTCTACCTTGACAGCAAACTTTTCTTCTACTACCTCAAATGACTTTCACCTCTTAGCCTTACTCCAGTCAGACTGTTTCACACTCTGCTCTCTCTGTCTAGTGGTTCTACTCTGCCTGACTACTCTCAGAGCCCTCCCTCTCTCAGGAAGCCCGCCTGCTACCAAATGTGAGCGCCCTGCCACTGTACTCCCACTGCAACCTATTTCCTCGTCAGTCAAAACGCTCATCACACTGTATTGTCCTCACCTGTCAGTGGTTTCTACTAGACAGTAAGCCCCCTGAGGGAAGACAGGACAGGGCCCACAAAGGAAACGACACATCTGGGAGGGGTACCACCTATGGGGAGCACAAAACCAGAAAAGGAGCTCACAGGAAGGGACTCGGTGACCACTACTGACCGCTGGCCCCGATGACCAGCTTCAAAGGAAGGCTTGGCGGCCTTACTGGATGGCGTCAGTTCTTTTCCTTCTCTGCAAAAATACTTACCTTTCACTACTCAGACACTTACCACACAGTTACCATTGTCTTTGAATGTGGCAACTCTGACCAAAGTTGTTTAAGATATAATCTCTACTTTTGATATAAATAATTAAAAAGGAACATTCGTAGAATTCTTAGAAATAGTCCATTTGACCAGAAACATAGGAAATCATTTAGATACATTCTCATTTAGGTAAGTTACTGTGGGGGAAGGGCCAGCCCCCCAACACTGATCACAGATTCGACAGGCGCAATTGTACGGTTGAGATATATAAATATTATAATAAAGTCATAGAGAGCATGAGAGATAAAAGAGATTGAAATAATGGAGTCAGACACATCTCATGGTAGCATGCTCACCTCAGCCCCACTTGGTGGTCCACATGGAGATAGCGAAGGGGAAAGGGAACAGGGGAGAGAGGACTGGAGAGGAGAGGGGAAACCGATGAGAGGTCAAGAGGGGAGCCCGAGAGAGGTCTTTATTGCTAACCCAGACTTATATATCTTTGGGGGGAATGCAAGCCCCCTAATTACAGGTAAATACATATGTCACAGGAAGGGTTGCACTATAGGTTATACAGCAACGAGAGGGGGACAATCTAGGGATATACATGCACTAGGAAGAGGAGGGATTGGGGGCACACATGTGACAAGAAGGGCGGATCCTAGATTCAGGATGGCAGCCTAACTTTGGAAGTCACTGAGCAGGTTTGACCTGTTCTCTGGATCTCCATAGAAACCATTATCAGTAGGGTATAAACCCCACCCACAGGCACCAAGCTAATGGTTGCAACCCTTTAGGGAGAAGTCCATTGTCCTTAACAGCAGAGAGCAGGCCCTACCTTGGTGGAACCAGACAGTTGTCTGGCAACTGATTGCCTTTAGGGAGGATGTCTCTAAGCATCTGACCTCCCACCATATGTTGGCAAAAAGCCTCTAATGTTTGGCATGTCTTTGTGGGAGACAAAGCTGGGGAAAAGTCTCTTTCTAATCCTACAAGTTACGAAATAGTCTTTATTTTAAATTTTCATTAGGAGAAATTCTGTCATATTGAAAAATACCCTCATTCCCATTCCCTTTCTGTTATGCTAAGCCAGGGCATCTTTTTTCAGAACCACTTTAGCTCGGAAGAAAGGAATGGAGAGAGCCAGGGAGAGAAGGAGGAATGAATGAATGACTATGCCTTCAGTATGGCAAAGAAAATACACACAGTGGCTTGACTGAGACTTACTTTAAACAATCCTAATTGGCTTATTTAGCCATTAAAATAAAGCATGAAAAATGGTGTTGAGTATCATAACTAGTAAAACACCGCCCCCCCTAAAAAACACAACCTCACTTTGAGTCAATTACAACTCCTAGTGACCCTAAAGGTCAGAGTAGAATTATTCCATAGGGTTTGTAAGGCTGCAAATCCTTATGGGAGTAGGCTGTCTCATCTTTCACCCTCAGAGTGGCTGATGGGCTTGAACCCTTGACCTTTCAGTTAACAGCCTAATGCTTAATCTGCTATGCCTTTTGTCTATTTACCAGATTTACATGAGACCCTTCTTGAATGGCTTGGTGAAATATTCTATGCATACTGTCTCCCATTTTAACTCCTGGAATATTTCTAATGACGACTAGTGCAAACATAATCCACCCCTGACAATAACAACACTATCATCGTGCCCTGGGATTTGTACATCCCTTTCGCCGTAAAGTTCAAACCGCATACATGTACTATTCTATTAATCTTTAGACCATCATTACAAAACAGGCTGCGGATATTACTAAGAATGACCTCACCAAGCAAAAGTTGGTGAGCCTCATAACTCCTCATAAAAGTAGAGGAGCCTTTAAGGACCGAATTTCCAAAGCCAAGAGCTAGTGATACATATGAGGCTAGCTAATGAAGGTATATTCTGCCATCCTGGAGACTAAACTCTGTCAGGCAGAGTCCCTCTGAATAAGAAAGGGCAAACGTTTTCATTCTACTGCAATGAAAAAGAGCTCTTTATATGAGGGAGCTTCAAAAAGTATATGGGAATGTGGGATTCTAAAGAGACTTTTCCTCAGCTTTGTCTCCCACAAAGACATGCCAAACATTAGAGGCTTTTTGCCAACATATGGTGGGAGGTCAGAGGCTTAGAGACATCCTCCCTAAAGGCAGTCAGTTGCCAGACAATTGTCTGGTCCCACCAAGGTAGGGCCTGCTCTCTGCTGTTAAGGACAATGGGCTACTTCTCCCGAAAGACTTGCGGCCATCAGTCTGGTCCCTGTGGGTGGGGTTTATACCCTACTGATAATGGTTTCTATGGAGATCCAGAGAACAGGTCAAACCTGCTCAGTGACATCCAAAGTAAGGCTGCCATCCTGAATCTAGGATCCACCCTTCTTGTCACATGTGTGCCCCCAATCCCTCCTCTTCCTAGTGCATGTATATCCCTAGTTTGTCCCCCTCCCATTGCTGTATAACCTATAGTGCAACCCTTCCTGTGACGTATGTCTTTACCTGTAATTAGGGGGCTTGCATGCCCACCCAAAGGTATATAAGTCTGGGTTAGCAATAAAGAGCTCTCTGGGGCTCCCCTCTTGGCCTCTAGTAGGTTCCCCCTCTACTCTCCCATCCTCGCTCCCCTGTTCCCTCTCTCCTTGTCCTCCTCCCCCTTCCCTATCTCCACGTGGACCACCAAGCGGGGCTGAGGTGAGCATACTACCATGAAATGTGTCTGACTCCATTATTTCACTCCCTCTTTTATATCTAATGCTCTCTAGGACTTTATTATAACCTTTATATATTTTAACCGTACAATTGCACTTATTGAACCCACAATTAGTTGTGGGGGGCTGGCATGTCCCCCGCATGGGAATATGTCATTGTCTTTTAATCCCCCCTTTCCAGGGAACTTTTTGAAAGCTCTTTGTATAACCTAACATGGTAGAAACAAATAAAACAAAACAAACCTGGAAAAGGGCACGTCAGAATTTAAGAAACATTTGCCTTCAAGTCAACGTCAACTCGGTGACTGCGCCTGTGTCAGAGTCGGACTGTGAGTCCCTGAAAGCAGCCCGGCAGGCCTTTCTTCTAAGGCACCTCGGGGTGGGCTTGAACCTCCCAGTTTTTGGTTAACAGCTGAGCATGGTAACAGTGAGAACTACCCAGTGAGTCCCTATCTGAATGAAGAAGGGGAGAATTTGAGTTTAGGAATCCTTGGGTCCGTAGAGGAACCATGCGGCTTGGTGGGTTTACACAATGGGCTGTGCACGACAAGGTCAGCAGTTCGAAACCACCAGCCATTCTGTGGGAGAAAGAGGAAGTTTTCCAATCCTGTAAATTTTTACAGCCTTGGAAACCCACAGGGGCAGTTCTAGGGTCACTAGGCGTCGGCATTGACCCCAGGCCAGTGCATGACAGTCAATGTGTGGTCTTAAAGACAGTAGAGTTCAGATTTTGAGAAGACAATGATCCCTTTCAAAGGTTTATAATTGTTTCAGTACACAGAAGTCACCAATAGCAAAGTTTCTATCTGATTTACCAACTGTTTGCTTGAAATTGGTTTGCTAGTGTTCCCCGCCCACCCCCTATCATCTGTCTGCTCAAGAAAGGATTCTTGTTAAACATTTAATAAAAAACAAAACGAAGTATGAATCAGGAATCACCACTCAGTTATTCTGGATTCAGAGCAAACTTTCTGCTCTTCTCTTGAAGAGATGAGCCAAGGCATGCATGGACACTCCTCTATTATTCTTTCCACTTCCCCTGCCTCCCAGCTGACTCCCGGCTGCCCCTGGGCCTGCTTTCCACTGGGGAAGGACCATAGCTAGTGAGCCATGCCATTGCTCAGTGAAGCAGAAACCACTGAAAAATGCCACCAAGCTGAAGAGGACCAGGAGATCTGGTGTCGGCCGGGAGA